TATGGTTGGAGCATTAATATTCCAACAACTTGACCATACACTACGTATATACAAACAGTTACCAGCACAATTTTAATTCAGATCATATAACTGCAAAAATAATTTTCTCTATAGAATAACATTTATCAAATATCAAAATATTTTTAATTTATAGAAAAATTTTTTCCCCAATAAGTCTTTCAAAACAATGTTTTTTTCAAAGAAACAGTGACATATCAAGAAAAATCACTTTTTCTCACAGAATGACTGATTATTTCTGAATATTTGTTCAATTTAAGTGTGTAGATAAAGAGAAAACAATTTAATGAAGAGGACATAAGAAAGCAGTTTAATAAAATGTCCATGATCCCAAACTTCTTTGTCATTGTTTTTGCTATTTAGATTGTTTGGAATGTTGTCTTCATCTTCATTGCTATATTTGTGATGTTTCAGCCATTGTATGCTTTGACTTTCTCCAGTTGATTGGAATTTTAAACTGAACTCTTTATTTTATCCACTAAAAACCAAAATGTTGTGAATATGACAACAGAGATGAGGACAACAGCCTGAACTATGTAAACATACCTCATCTCAGGGATATAGACAGATATTCTTTGTCATTGTTTTCCAATATTACTTTTTTCCTGGTGTAACTATCTAGGATATGTCAATAGTGCAAGGAATATCAGTGCAGAAAGTAAAGATCAAATTCCAGCATTGCCTGTTGCATTCACATTTGCACTAATGTCAGTGGGAAACATTTGAATTCATCTCCCAGCTATATGTTAATAACAGGGTAAATTCTCTAAACTTGGTTGGCAGCTAGTCTAGGAGAAGAACAATTTTGGATTCAAAACTATGGAGAAGGCAACAGAAAACATTCCTTTATCTTTCTCAAAAGGGACATAGCATTAAATAGAAAAACAAAAATTTCAAATCTCCATCAATTTACATATGGGCACTTACGGCAAATGGATGACTAGCAAATGGATGACTATCAAATGGCTTTTGCAGACACTTTGTTAGTTTAGTGAAGGAAATTGACACAAGGTGTTCCAAGATTGAGATCTTGTGCCACTTTAATGAATAGCATTGGGTTAAGAGCATTGACAAGAAAGAGAATATGCTAAAAATAAATAAATATTTGCTGTGTAATATAAGTCTAATTTTTTTTCTAAATTAGGCTATGGACTTATTAACACATTCACTGTTGCATTGCTTTGTCTGTGCAGGGCCATTTTGAGAAAAATATGAAGTTGCCTTTAATGGAAGAAATGATAATAAAGAGACTGAAATCAACTTTTCATTGGTGTCACCATTTTAATTCTAATTGGATAATGTACAGTACAGACTAAGCTAAATGGACTTTCAAAAGATATATAATTAAAATACATTACAAAACATTTTTCAATGAAACTTTATATAAATATATACATTCTACATATTCAAGTTTTATTATATGATGGATGTAAATGAGTTTATTCAATATTTTCAACTTTAACACAAGAAAAATAAAACATTTGGACAATTAATACAGATTTTCATGGGAAATGACTAGAATTAATATTTTAGAGAAAACTTAATTCTATTTACTGGTATAATTAGATAATGTCTAAATACCATATAGGTGTGCATCTCTCTTTCCCTCCTATATATATATATATATATATATATATATATATATTTTCAAGCATGTTTCATTGAATAATATGGACATATTATGTCTATTTATTTTAATTTTAATCTTCTCAAATTTATGGCTAGCAGGTAATTTTTCAATTAACTATGTGTGCGTTTTTGTGCATATACAAAAAAAATTCACAACCATCAGTTACATTAATTTTTTTCATCTTAGCAATTCATCCCTGAAGATGATCTTGGGTGAGATTGAAATTACTTGGGAAAATAAAAGAAATGATAATAACTATGGCTTCTTCCTTAATGAGTTTAATAACAACTTTAAGAAATTGATCTGTGAATTTGAGAGGATAAAATAAAAATAAATAGACATAATATGTCTAGATTATTCAACCAAAAATGCTCGAATGAAGATATGCTGCCTAAATATACATATATATTATACATGATAAAAATATAGTTTTAAGGTATGGAGTATTTATGAATAGTAGTGCTCAATATCAGGGATAGTGCATATGTGAATATAAAATATAAAGGTAGACACTAAGGTCAACAGTCTGTTTCATGCTTGAAAATTGCATTCAAGCATGAAATAGACTATCATCAACGTCATTATATATTGACGTCATTATATATATATATATATATATATATATATATATATATAGAATCGGAATAATAAAATTCAATACTTATTGTCATCAACTCTGAGTTTTGTAGTTTTTCACTCATCACTTGTCAAAAATTTCAGTAAAATTTTACTATGTACTTAATATACATATATAAATACTTCAACATTTAAAACTTTATATTATATATATATATATATATATATATATATATATATATATAATATAAACATTTTTATGTTTATACATTCTTTTATAGATACAAATGTTTAAGTAAATGCTCTGTTTATAATAAACAGTATTGCTAACTGTGTGCAAATCAGTTAAAAAGCACGTCAAGCTATATGATGGTTCCATATAGGATACTGGTTCGATTCCTGTCAGAGGACGAATATTTTCTATGAAAATTTCTTGGACATTCAGGCTGGTAAATGTTATTTAATACTGTTTATTATAAACAAAGCATTTACTTAAATATTTGTATCTATAAAAAGAATGTATAAACATAAAAATGTCTTAAAATAATTGTTGAACTTTGTCCATTTCATAATATATATAGATATATATATATATGTTTTAAATGTTGAAGTACTTATATATGTATAGTAATAAGTTTATCATTTAATGATGAAAAAACATTTATTATATGCAACAGTTTCAACCCTTTGAAATTTGAACAGTTGCAGCATTTAAACAAACAATTAATTAGATTATTCTTCATTATTCTTCTTCTTATATATGCTATGGTTCTACAGGACTAATAGCTCTAAGATTTGTCTCTTTACTATCTCCCCCAACTCCCTGTTTTGCCATCCATTCATTAGATAGATTAATTGCTGTCTGTCTAAACTTCTTTTGCCTTCAGTATGTCCTGTGAGTGTCAAATTCTCTAAGCTTTCTTTCTTCATTAGCCCAGAAATTTCATATTTCTTTTTTATCCTAAGCACAACAGCCCTTTTCACACCCCTTATCCTAAAAACTTGTTCATTGTTCACATGTCCCATCTATGTTATTCTCAGCATCCTACTGTTGCATTAAATCTCCTCTTCATCTGTGAGAAAACTGTCCAGCATTCACTGCAATATAGGAGGATTGATATGACAGTCAGCTCTTTGAAATTCAGAATTAGAACTGTTGTAGCATTACAAGATTACTCAGCTTTTATTCTTAAAAACACTGATCTTTGATGTCGTAGAACCTATAATCAATAGGTGTTTTTTGTCTTCTGTTTGGTTGGGTCTGATTTTTTTCATTCCCTATATTTGTCTGCAGATGTTTCTTTCTTTGAAGAAAATGATTGCAAAATCCCTGATTAAAGTAACATAGTTTCTGTCTGGATTTTACATTGTTTACAAAAGCCTCATATCAGTTCATGAATTTGGTGGCATTGTGAGATTAATCCCTTGGCCATGTAGGATAGACTCAGACACTTTGGAAACAAACAAAAATAAAAGCTGGGCAGTAATAAATAAAGAACAAGCCATGACATCCTGAGACAGGGACAGCAGACTGAGAAGAATCTAATTAAATAAAGGGCTCAGTTCAAAATTCCCTGAGGATGACATGGAACAGACACCTGAAGCTTATGTTACTGTTTAATTTTATTTTTAAAACCAACTGCCAATCTTAGAGCAGCATAAGTCATAGGATGTGAGAAGACCATAGCAAATTACATTTGGAGAGGCAAAAAGATTATTATTTCTTCTCGTAAAATAAAATTAATTGTTTAGAATCACAGTTACAGAATGGAAACTAAAGCATTTGCTATTCAATTGATTGAAAGAGGATCCTTGAAAAGTTTAAAATATTAAACAATAAAACAGTCTTATCTCACATTTATTGTTAATTAGTTTCATGGTTTAATATTTTAAACTTATCAATGATCCTCTTCTGATAAAATCTATTGATTGGTTTTTATTCTGTCTCTACAAATACCATTTTTCTTCTAATGTAAAAAAACTCAAATAAGAATTGAAGGTGATGGTTGAAACCTACCTTGTTGTTGTCTAACTTTATTCCCCACTGTTCTTTTCTACAAATTACCCATGAAATACTGAAAGAAAAACAAAGTTGCATATGCTAATGTATAAAAAAAAAATCTCAAATAGCATGGGAATTCAAAGGTGACTGATGTGTTACAACCTACCTTGTGTGTTGTCTAACTAGAAATTGAGTGTAGGTGTCAGTCCCACTGAGCTTCTTTTCTATACAAGGTTAGCGACCACATCATATTGAAACACCAGTTCACGTATGATCACCAGAGTTAAGCAACATTGAGTCTATTCAGTACCTAGATGGGTTTACCACTTGGGAATACCAGCTGCTGTAAGCTTGGATGTGCAGATGAAATTGAGTGTAGGTGTCAGTCCCACTGAGCTTCTTTTCTATACAAGGTTAGCGACCACATCATATTGAAACACCAGTTCACGTTGATCACCAAAGTTAAGCAACATTGGAGTCTATTCAGTACCTAGATGGGTTTACCACTTGGGAATACCAGCTGCTGTAAGCTTGGATGTGCAGATGAAATTGAGTGTAGGTGTCAGTCCACTGAGCTTCTTTTCTATACAAGGTTAGCGACCACATCATATTGAAACACCAGTTCACGTATGATCACCAGAGTTAAGCAACATTGAGTCTATTCAGTACCTAGATGGGTTACCACTTGGGAATACCAGCTGCTGTAAGCTTGGATGTGCAGATGAAATTGAGTGTAGGTGTCAGTCACACTGAGCTTCTTTTTCTATACAAGGTTAGCGACCACATCATGTTGAAACACCAGTTCACGTATGATCACCAGAGTTAAGCAACATTGAGTCTATTCAGTACCTAGATGGGTTACCACTTGGGAATACCAGCTGCTGTAAGCTTGGATGTGCAGATGAAATTGAGTGTAGGTGTCAGTCCCACTGAGCTTCTTTTTTCTATACAAGGTTAGTGACCACATCATATTGAAACACCAGTTCATGTATGATCACCAGAGTTAAAGCAACATTGAGTCTATTCAGTACCTAGATGGGTTTACCACTTGGGAATACCAGCTGCTGTAAGCTTGGATGTGCAGATGAAATTGAGTGTAGGTGTCAGTCCCACTGAGCTTCTTTTCTATACAAGGTTAGCGACCACATCATATTGAAACACCAGTTCACGTATGATCACCAGAGTTAAGCAACATTGAGTCTAGTCAGTACCTAAATGGGTTACCACTTGGGAATACCAGCTGCTGTAAGCTTGGATGTGCAGATGAAATTGAGTGTAGGTGTCAGTCCCACTGAGCTTCTTTTCTATACAAGGTTAGCGACCACATCATATTGAAACACCAGTTCATGTATGATCACCAGAGTTAAGCAACATTGAGTCTATTCAGTACCTAGATGGGTTACCACTTGGGAATACCAGCTGCTGTAAGCTTGGATGTGCAGATGAAATTAAGTGTAGGTGTCAGTCCCACTGAGCTTCTTTTCTATACAAGGTTAGCGACCACATCATATCACCAGGTTAAGCAACATTGAAACACCAGTTCACTTGTATGATCACCAGATGAAATTGTTAAGCAACATTGAGTCTAGTCACCACATACCTTCAGATGGGTTACCACTTGGGAAAACCAGCTGCTGTAAGCTTGGATGTGCAGATGAAATTGAGTGTAGGTGTCAGTCCCACTGAGCTTCTTTTCTATACAAGGTTAGCGACCACATCATATTGAAACACCAGTTCACGTATGATCACCAGAGTTAAGCAACATTGAGTCTAGTCAGTACCTAGATGGGTTACCACTTGGGAATACCAGCTGCTGTAAGCTTGGATGTGCAGATGAAATTGAGTGTAGGTGTCAGTCACACTGAGCTTCTTTTCTATACAAGGTTAGTGACCACATCATATTGAAACACCAGTTCACGTATGATCACCAGAGTTAAGCAACATTGAGTCTAGTCAGTACCTAGATGGGTTACCACTTGGGAATACCAGCTGCTGTAAGCTTGGATGTGCAGATGAAATTGAGTGTAGGTGTCAGTCCCACTGAGCTTCTTTTTCTATACAAGGTTAGCGACCACATCATATTGAAACACCAGTTCACGTATGATCACCAAAGTTAAGCAACATTGAGTCTAGTCAGTACCTAGATGGGTTACCACTTGGGAATACCAGCTGCTGTAAGCTTGGATGTGCAGATGAAATTGAGTGTAGGTGTCAGTCCCACTGAGCTTCTTTTCTATACAAGGTTAGCGACCACATCATATTGAAACACCAGTTCACGTATGATCACCAGAGTTAAGCAACATTGAGTCTATTCAGTACCTAGATGGGTTACCACTTGGGAATACCAGCTGCTGTAAGCTTGGATGTGCAGATGAAATTGAGTGTAGGTGTCAGTCCCACTGAGCTTCTTTTCTATACAAGGTTAGCGACCACATCATATTGAAACACCAGTTCACGTATGATCACCAGAGTTAAGCAACATTGAGTCTAGTCAGTACCTAGGAATACCAGATGCTTTAAGCTTGGATGTGCAGGTGGTGTAATGAATAATAGCTCAGAATTGTTAATCATAGAGCCAAGTTCCAATTCCAGTTTAGTTGTTGCTGTTATGGAAATTTCTCAAGTGACATGGTTTCTGTTGTTTGGTATAGTTCTTTATTTGTGATTCTGTAGTGCCAGTCTACAGGAAAATAGGTTTCTCAAGTCCAGTAGCTGTTATCGCTCTTTCTAGTAATGATGGTGCCTTCTTTCCTTGCTTTTGTTTGAAGTAATATCAAATGTCAATAATCTTGATTATGTTATAATTATCTCTTCCAGTTACACGTACTATCCATTTTAGTTGTTGCTACTGTTGAATGTCCTTCAGTCAGTGTTTTTTGGTAGTTGGTGTATTCTTTGTTTGTGATTCTGTAGCACTAGTCAATGAGATTTCATGAAGAATTGATTAAATATAATGAAACTCATAATTCATATACATTTTAAGATAAAAAGTATAAAGTAATTGCATTTTGTAAAGTAAATTTTTTTATTCATTAACAAAGGCTGCAACAAAATTATTTAACTGCTGATTTCAATTGGAGCATTTTGGTTACCTTATTCATTAAAAAAAAATAAGTGTTTTATTATTGAAGAAATTGATAAAAATATTTCATGATTGACTGACACATAATCAACATCCTCTTAGAATAAATCATGATTTTAAAAGTGTGTAATGACTTAAGAAAATAAGTTTTAAAATTTTAAATATCATATTTAACATAATAAACATTTTATGATAAAAAGTTAGAGAATTGGATGCAAAATTTAAAAATACGGAAATAAGTTAACTGCATTTTAATTTATTTTAAATACTGTTATGAAAAAAAAATAAGTGTTTTATTATTGAAGAAATTGATAAAAATATTTCATGATTGACTGACACATAATCAACATCCTCTTAGAATAAATCATGATTTTAAAGATGTAATGACTTAAGAAAATAAGTTTTAAAATTTCCATATCATATTTAACATGTAAACATTTTATGCTTAACTTTAGAGAATTGGATGCAAAATTTAAATACGGAAATAAGTTACATTTTAATTTATTTTAAATACTGTTATGAAATGTGTTATTGAAGAAATTGATAAAAATATTTCATGATTGACTGACACATAATCAACATCCTCTTAGAATAAATCATGATTTTAAAAATGTAATGACTTAAGAAAATAAGTTTTAAAATTTCCATATCATATTTAACATGTAAACATTTTATGCTTAACTTTAGAGAATTGGATGCAAAATTTAAATACAGAAATAAGTTACATTTTAATTTATTTTAAATAGTGTTATGAAATGTGATTAAATAAAATTTTACTCAAAGTGTTGATAATGATGAATTGGTTGGTAGTTTTTCTTTCCTGATGGTAATCGTAATATTAGATGTTTCCTTATAAGGAAACATTCAGCATTCATTGACTGAGCAACCCGTATTACTTTCAGTTGAAATTTATAAAATCTTTCTCTTAAATCAATTTTTTTCAAGAAAATAGGTTTCTAAAGTCCAGTAACTGTTATCTCTCTTTCCAGTATTTTTGGGGGTGTTTCCTTCCTAACCTTTTATTTGAAGTATTGTGGAATGTCAATATTTTGATTATATAATTATTTTCTCTCTTTGAGTTCCATGTGATATCCATTTTAGTTGTTCCCCTTATAGAAATTCATCAAGTGATGTGGTTTCTGTTATCTGTTGCAGTTCTTTATTTGTGATTCTGTAGTTTCCAGTCCACAACGTTTGAAGAAGTGTGGCATTTACTAAAGCACATAAGCTTCACTCACTTAAAGCCATATTTAATCATTGAGCTTACAAAATGGTTGTCTATAGCTGACAGTTTAGATATTTCTGAACAGATTTGGTGCCATGCATGGCATTCATATGAATGTCTCAACTTGACAATTTAATTCATTCCTCCGCATAGACGTGCATGTACATTTTTATCAAAAGTATCTTTTGCAGATACGGATGAATAAGCATGTTTAAAACATAATGTTCCAAAACCAGTTACTGATGTGTTTATACATTGATCTTGGTTCTTTTTATGCCCTTCTGAGCTTGAAACAAGTCCATTTGTCAAGTCATACATCTGGTAGAGGTGTTACCCACTTTTAGGGTACTTCAAAGTGCCTTAGTTTCTATATTAAAAACAAATAAAAAATTCATTTTTAATGAAATGTTTTTCCTAAAATAATTGGCAGAAAGGTGTCCAGAACATGACTTCAGTTTTGCACTCTCAATCAGCTTCAGAGAAAACAAGTGCATAGTTGATCTGAGAGGTATCTTGCTTGCCACCAAGTACAAACTTGCATGCCTGGCCTCGCTGCACCTGCGATGCACATCTACAAGCTCTATGAGAGATATAGATGTACAAACATCCACCACAGCAGTAGGGAGAGTCTCTTACATTGTATATGAGAATATAATGTCTATATTTGGCTGTCAGCTCCAAGGCTACACATACATACACACTGACTGATGGTAACTGACAAAATCCACAGTGGAATAAAATGTAATATTCCTTGATGAGAGATTCAGTTATATTTTCATTAGTTGGTATGATGGTAATATTAAACAGATATTAACATTCACACATGCAAACATATTTGCATAGGTGAGAAAACACTGCATATATATATATATATATATATATATATAGAGAGAGAGAGAGAGAGAGAGAGAGAGATATTCATAGACACAAGAAACTTTGTATGCACATTAAATTACATGTGCATTAAGAAATCTCCTTAAGTTGCTTTATATTCATTTAAATACAACATTGTTGTTTTTCTTTCATCAATATATTTATAAGTAATTTATTTTGAGGTAAGGTTAAACTTTCTATTTGTAATTTACAAAGTAAATGGTAATGGTAAGATCAGATGTTTCCTTATAAGGAAATTGAATAAACAGATAACTATTTCTGTTCTGCTCTCAAGAGTATGCGTATAACAACCAGATAGATGCCTTAAAGCAATTAGTGACTCTTGTTATATTAACTGTTTGGTTACTGGCAATTTTTTTCAAAAATTTATTGCTGGTATTAAAACCTACTTTTACATTTTCATATTGCTTTGACTCCAGTTTCGCAGTTACCTATTTGACCATATAATTCTGGGTAAGATGTTAAACTACATCCAGCATCAAGGCCTCTGATCAGGAGGTTTTGAGGAGTGTGGAACCACCTCTTAATTGCTGGTATTCCCAGGTACACCTGACCCGGGTGGTAGCACCTGTTAGGGGTCCCAGCTATATTAAATAGTTAACTATTACCAACAATACTTTTTTGAAAAAAATTATTACCAGCAATACAATTTTGAAGGAAATATATTACCAGAAACAGATTTTTGAC